TTTTTCAAATGAAAGGAAATAAAGTGAAGGCATTTAGGTAAAGTTATAGTGGAAGCATAATTTCGCTTGCTAACTCCAGATGGTGCTTACCAGATTTTGAATGTTTCCTTTTTAAAAATCGAACCAGGCAGCTAGACCGCCGAGAACCGTTATTTATCATTATTCAAACGAATGGAAAACAGAGTTGTCATCTTGCAAGAATCATCGAGGATAGTCAAACTATAGTAAATGAAGGAGAGGGAAGTGGACTAAATGAACTTGCCACTAGCCGCCTGACCCGAAATCTCGTAAGTGAGTATATAGAAACATCATGTAGCATTTACTCGAACACATAGTGAAGTGCGATATCGTGGAAGGGAAAAAAACCCGCATTACAATGATAGCAACTCGACCCAACCGGATTTAGAGGATAGGTATCAAGAGTAAATTCCTTCAAAAAAACCTTCAAATGAGAGGGTAGGCAAAAACATCTATTCCAGCGACAACTCTGACAGCTTTGCGTGCCTTGAGTGTATGTGTATGAAAAAAAAAATCGAGCCCATGGTTTTCATCAAGCAGTTAACACTCTATATTTATCATTCATGAGACGAAGGTACAAGAAGGAAACTGTGAATTATACCAATGCGGTAAATGACACAACCACTTTGTTTCTCGGGGGATAGTTTTTTTAATGACCGTATGCCTACTCAGAGGTCCCGTTTGACGTGATTCGAGCGTCGTGAAAGGATGGCTATTACTTTACATTTGAATTTAATGGGGGGTAATTTTGATCCATTTTGATCAGCTTAGGGATTTTTTTAAAATTTACAGAGCTCAATTATCTCCTTCTAAGAAAATATTGGCTCGGCACTACAACTCATTCCTCCTTTTTACCCTAAAATCAACTGAATTGACGCCTCTGGAAAAACTCGATTTTCGTATAGCTGTCATTGCTATTTGCTAATTTGTGAGATTCGATGATCAAAACACGACATATGCCCCACGCAATTGACCCACTCCAAGCGTTAAACCGTGCGATTGTCTTCATGAGTGAACATAGAACGATAATCAATGTGCAACAAGAGCCGTCAAAAACGGCCGAAATGTGGAGTGACGAGACTGTGGACATAGACGCAATGACAGATATACCTAAATTTGTTGATCCTTTGATATGAGGGCTTAACCGAATCTGAACGTGAGCCCTGCAAAGCATAGTGATACAAGGACAGTAGGGCTCTTATCAATGTGCACTTACGCCTTTGTGTTCAAGAGAGCGACGAATTGTGCCATACGTGGGATTGCGCAAAACGGGGCAGTGGAGTTGTCGCGCCTAGCTCGGACAAACTCCCGAACGGTGGAGTGGGGAAGGGGACGACGCCACTCTTAAAGTGAAAAACCGCGTATCTGGTCTAGGGATCTATCGGAGACGTACGCGATTCTTGCTGGGCGGGGTGGGTCGAGTGTCACACCTGCGCGAGCGTGTCAAAAGTGAAACATTAGTCGAATGGAAGCACCGGTTACCTAATTTCCCACGCACTGGCACTGCCCGCTGGAGTGCCGCTGGACCTGGGGCGGAGTGGATGGAAATAGGCGAAAAAAGTGGAGTTGACGCAAGGTCGGGTGTGTAGTGCTCTGCCCAGTGACAAATAGAAGTCCGCCATTGAAACTTGGTGACAGGTGGAAACTTTTAAACTCGAGGATTCAACATTTTTTCTCGGACCGTATCAGAAGAGCAAGAGCCATGTCACCTTCTTGATGGCTATCTTTGACTGCAATCGAAAAAGGCTTATCTCCATTGTGGCGTTTTGGATCTTTCCAATTATTTGTTTTATTTCTTTAAAATACAATAATACTGACAACAATATTATCCTTGAAATTTTCTGGGCAAGTATTTCATAAATGAAGAAAAGTCACAGAAAATGTCAGTATACGCTGTTGGATCGCAATCTTCCAAAAAATAGAATATATAAGTAGAGATTTGGAACATCGCAATCTAAGGTGCACAGTTTTTCACTTTAGCACAGCTACTGTGTTTTCTGAAATGAGAAGAGCGTGGAACATATTTACCGATCATCGATTTGTTTGCTAAGTCAATTGTTCAATACGACACGAGTAGAAAGTGTATCATTTGTTGAATGGTGGGTCCCCAAATATAAATGCCACCACTATTACCGCGATAGGTATCAGCGGATAATCTCTATTTGTATGTAGTTCTGCAACCGCTATTGAGGGTTCCACCTCAGAGAAGCGATCGTTCATTTTTCTGTTAAAATAGTCTTTTTCAAAACATGTTATAGGTTTTCGGTTCCGTGAACTACAAAAAACTTCGGCAAATATGGAACAATACGGAGCACGTTCAGCAAGATAAAGTGTCATTGTTAATTTATTGGCCCCTTCGATTCGTAGAACCAAACCCCCAGTTCACTGAATTGAAGTTCGGTTTATCATAGAGGAAGTTGGTTTGCAAGACTATATGCACCATCCTCTGAGCCGAAAAATATCCTCCTACCGAACTTGTTGGATCTCATAACCCACGTACGACGCCGTGCTTAACTTTCCTTTTGAAAAATAAACTGAGGTCAAAGATGTGGAAACTTTCCAAAACAAATGATCATTTTGACTTTAATCCGCGAGGAGTCTACTTTTCTGAAAGCTCGATTTAATTCGGCAGGAGTGCATAGCGCGGATTGTGTGGGTGCGCAGGCGTGGAGTGTACGGATCGGATCCGAGGCATTATTCATTGGACGGAGTTAAACAGAAAGGAACCAAGCCACAGCGGGATCGAAGTGAGAAAATGAGGTTTAAAGTTTGGCTCCTGCATAAGACTCAATGTTAAAGATAAACTTCAAGTTCAATTTCTGCAAAATGTTCTCCAACAAAAACCTAGAATTTTTGGCGATAGATAGTAGAGCAGTGGTTGAGTTCAAAACCACTCATAACTCAATTTTTTCCAAAATGTGGGTTGGTTCCTTTCTGCTTAACTCAGTCCCATTGTGAACCGAATGCCACAGCATCGCCGCGCGGGCCACGGCCCTTCAACTCGAATCAACAGATCAAGAGGCCACCGGTCTGCGCCACCGACCGCCAATCATGAGTGTCACAGTCACACAATCGACCAAACATCGAGCCCACACGGACACTATGTCACCGCCATCGTGTCGCACTGGTTGGCGCAGCGTTGACTGTTTGGCTGTAGCAAACACATTAAAGAATAGCCCAGCTATCAAAGTCACAAAGTCCCAGAGGCGAAGGTGGAGGAGCAAAAAGAAAAATCACCACTTATGTCAACTCTTGGAAAACCGCAAATAACTGACATTCCCCAAAGCCCATCAGAGATTCGACCCGCCCTCATTTCATCTGAAAACCCCCTGTCACCACCCCTTCACTGGACGTTTCCTCCCGGGAAGAGCCAAGTCAAGTATCATCTTGGGTAACCTTTCTTCAGAGTCCTTTTTTGACTGAAAATTTAAGGGAAGCGGATTTGACACGAAAAGGGGACGAAAGTTACGAAAATTCCTATTTCGCCTTCAATTTTGGAGGTAGGCCACAAAACATGCAGCATGAGGTTAGTTATCATTTATTCAAGCGTGTACGCTCATATGACCAGTGGTGTTCAAGAAATTTGTTTCGTGTATAGTTAGGACATATCGCGTTAAATTCTATGCCTTTACTAACATTGTTTTTGATTCAAGCATCTATGACGATAAATGTCAAATATGAGACCTTTACTCTAAAATTTCTTTATGGAAGTATGGTGCTTCCCTTGCGCATACTCTGGAAACTCTGCTGCCTTTCTTACAACACAGTATTATCATGCGATGCCAGACGAGCTGTAAACCTGAAGATAACGGGGTAATATAGAATTCATTATATATGATAACAAACGGTAAACTGAAACCATAGGTCAGCTGGCGTCATGAGCCCTAGCTTAATTCAGGGAGGTATCGGTGAAGTTTTGATGAATTTTCGGGATTGAAGATCATTCTATATTCTCCCAATCTGTGTAGGTGTAGGTACCTTTATATTTTACTTCTGGCAGCGATGCCTGGTGGCGTGTCTCCTGAGGTCGCGACCTCCCTCTCCGCCGAAACAATTAATTTTTTCGGACGGTGACCACAACAGGCCTAATGCGAGTCTGTCACCTATTCATGCGTGTTTATTCCGTTCCGTTTGCTTTCTGTTAGTTCCGCGAGAGACCAAGACGTTCCTCAATGACTTCCTGTGCAGCCGATCGTGGAGGTTTCGGGTCTTGTCAACGTTGAATGATATCGGCAGCGAGCGCATGCATTAGTGGTGATTCAGTGTGATTTACAAAGAAAAATTTCACTCAATGTGCTGAATAATTCTTCGCAAAATTACAAGCACCATGCACCAGTAGAAGCATGATCTTTGGAATATAGCTCTTGCCCCTAGCACCGCAATGAGAAAATTTTCCTGCTAATAGTTCCGCGATGAGAATTCTCGTTGACTCAGCAGGGCATTTCTACAGAGTGACGGTGTGGCTCTGAAAAATAACTGAAATAACGTTTGAAACCAGATTCCTTCCAGGCTCAACGAGAATTCTTGCCCAAGTATTAATTATCGGACTTTCTATTGATTAACAAAAAAGGTTTCGCACTGTAAGACAATTTTTTATATAAAACGACTTCCAACTCATTTATTTTCTAAAATATGACTTAGTACGCTTTTGTTAAACTCGGTCGAGAATATTTAGACTTTTTGTACGAGATAAATTGTAAATTTATCAAAGAAAAGTTAACTTTTCCTCCGAATGTGAAATTTACGGGAGAAATAATATCCGAAAGTCGTTGAGAATTTCTCAAGCGGTAAAAACTATCTATAGAATTGAAAAACAATGTTGCTTTTTCCTCATTAAAATGCATATTTTGCATAAAATGCATGACTGCCTCAGACTGATGGACAATTAATAGAGGAAAGCCAACTTCTTTGTAAAAAGATACATGTAGCAAAGTCTGTTTAAATGAATGTATACTATAGAGTTCACAATAAAAAATAACATATTTGAGTTTCAATTAACTTTATCACAAACTTGTATTAAAACAGAGGAAACATTTTTTTAAGATCAGTTTTTTATGTGTTTGTAATGTTCTCAAGGAATTTTCAAAGTTGCATTCCATACGATACTAAATTATTTGACAAGTTTTGCGTACAACAATTTAAAAGAAAATGAGGTGAACGAGCCAAAATGTTTAAGAATCAAAGTTTCATGTAATGTCATTGAGTTTGAACTATATAAAGAGGTATTATGTTACACTGTTCTCCAAGTTTTTTCAGTCCATTTTAAAATTTTGAGGTTCTTCCAACAGAAAAAAATATCGTCAAGTTGACCTTAGATACTAAAATTCATCCAAAATTTTACAAACTTGATTTTATCAGTCGATCTCAGGGATAGTAATGTATTAATAAAAGTCAGTTCAAAAAATGATTTTGAGAGAATCTTGGTCAAGTCGACAATATTTTCTATGCACTGATTTTCATTCGTATTTTTTCCATCGAGATTTTGCATCACGCGAAGTGGTGGTAGTCCTTTAATTTGGATTGTAGTAACAGTAACACCTGTCATGCGGACACTCTGATCCGTAAACGAGACATTTGTCTTGGCAATACTCGTCAGCGCCTGCCCTCCCTTCATATTCTCCGATGGCAGTGCATTCGTTCCTAGAAAAAAAAAATGAATAAATTCGATTAAAATTTACCAGGTGATCACTGCGTGAAAAAGGGAAAGAATAATATTTTTAACAACAAAAAGTGAGGGAAAATGAGACTGAATAACATTGTTAAGTACATAATTCTAGTGAAAATGAATCATAAGACAGGGTAAGAAATTTATCATAACAGCACATGTCATCCCTTCATAATTTCTCACATAACACGTGAAACATACATCGAGAACTTCTGAAAGTAACCCATAAGTGTTAAACGCAGTTTATATTTGAAACGGAAAATTCAAACTTCTCGCTCACGAAGAACACAGATCCTATACTTCTTCTGACAGATTGTACTTTTAATTTTGTCTTAAAGTTACTGCGCAGAAACATCCTTTCGAAGTTAATTACACAAAAATATTGGTTCAGAGCTCAATTTTACTCGAGTTATGTGACTCGCCTTGAAGTGTTAGAAGCGCCTTCAAACTTGCATGATACAAAATATCATACAAATACCATGTGACATGTATTTACTCATCCCAGCATTAATAATTATTTTATTGTGTAATAATGAACCATACTATTTCTGGCTCATTTTAGAAACAGTGTGTATGTCACTAGTTTCCCTAAGTAGTCAGCTATTTTTATGGATGACTCAGGAATAGTAGTTCCTTGACGGAAAATGTAGTCCAATTGGATTACATTTTGCAATAAGGAACTACTATCTTTGGCTCTCCCATAAAAGCACATATCTACATAGGGAAATAAATGGCATGTATGTTGTTTCTAAAATGAGTCAGAAATAGTGGTTCCTTCTTGCAAAATGTAATCCAATTGAAACAGTTGGTCCAATTCAACTATGAAGAACGTCAATTGATGCAATATAAAAAGTATGTAATCATTGAGGTTTGAGGAAAGCCTAGAGATTATGCAAATAAATTATGACTCTGCATTATCTTGATGTTTCTGTTGAATCAAATTGGCAAAAAACAGCTCAATTTCATTTTTCAGTTTGTTATGATGCGTATAATAAATTGTTAGTCATCAGAAATTTCAACAGTTATTCACTTACTTATATATTCTTCTTTTTATATTTGATTAATTTTCTCCCGAATATGTCACTCTGGATGTCATATGAGTTTAAGAAAGATAACAAAGAAAAATAAAAGTGTGAATGAATGCATCACTTGCCATCTACCGTCGTGAATATTTAATACTCGTGGGTGCATGCATAATAATTTTCACCAAAGAATTGAGCTCGTTTTAGTATATTTTATTCAATAGCACCATCAAGAAAACACATGCAATCATCAAATAGTCCAAAAATATGTAAAACACCTTTGGATCTCAATGTTTACATACTCTTGAAAGTACATCAATGGACGTGTTTCATAGTTGGAAACAAAATTATTCAAATGAGTGCTGGCCAGAGGGAATAAGGTATTATGACATCGCACGTGTATCATATTTTGTATCATACAAGTTTGAAGGCGTTTTTTCATATTGAATGGTATGGTTACTTTTCTCCATCAAAATGATTAGATTTGTAGAGCTTCGTAAACTATCCTCGCTTTAAACTTTTAGCTTAATATATGTTCACATTTCGTTGACGCATCACGACGGAGCCTAAAGTTTTCTGACATAGAAAGAAGAAGAAAAATGCAAAGATTTTTAAAGTCACGAGAGTTTTGAAATATCTCTGCACATGCACCTCAAATCATAGATTTGGCCCCTAATTTCCTGTCGGTGAAAATCTGCGCAAATCGCCGTTAGTCGACTTACGTATTAAAGTTTGTATTGGCTTTGGTGCACGATCAGGAGAAAAAAATTAATAATCAGTCATGGTACAGCAGATGTAAGGATGATTATTAATCGCTTCAAAAAAACTTATGTTCGTGCTAACAATAGTTACTTTTCAACACGATGGGCACTCCCTCTTCCCTTTCTAGGGAAAACTGATCGTAATCATCCTAACCACATTTCGTGTTGCGTAATTTTTCCTTTCATAATTTATTTTTTACCAAAAAACTAACTATGACTCTGAGTATTATAACTATGACTATTTTTTGACCAAACCTCGGTCTGGTTCGACTTTTACTTCAGGTTCCAATTTATTTTTTTATTTTATCGTGACACCATGTTATTGGTGACTCTTTTTGGAACTCATGTATTAAGATATAAAAAGCGAACTCACGGGCAATGGCATATTTGTTCAGGACAGTTCGTTGGGTATCTAAGGCAGTTTTCTGTACACCATTTGTCCACGCCAGGTACAGCTCTGTACAGTCTATTACCTATACAGAACTGATTCCTAGAAGCAAAATAAATCAAAAAGAAGGAAAATGAAAAACACGAGAGAACAATATTTAAGATTCGGTGATGCAGTATTGAATACGCTTTAAATTTGAAGCCGTTGTTAGAACTCAAGAGTAAAGTGTGGAAAGGCTTCGGTAATAATTATGAAATTGTGACAGACTTTACTCAGTGAAAGTTCAGATAGGACTATTTTATGAATAAAATAAAAAGATGAAACGGAAAATAATGTAGATTGAAAAAATAGGCGTGTCAAGAAGTTATTCCAGCTTTTTTAACTCAAGTTCAAGTAAAAATTACCCATTAACTTGTGATAAACCTTGCTTTAAAAGTCAAAACTGGTATTTTTCTGAGGCTTACCCTAAAGCAAAATTTGAATCAATAGATGAAAATACATGTTTCCTTTTACTGAGCCATCTCTCTGTTAGGTAATAGATATTGGCCGTCCAACTTCTACGGCTTTTTACTTAAATTTTACATATTCATCGCGGTTCATATACCCTCTAAGGATGCAGATTTTCTTGTAGAATTTTGGTAACAGGTATGAAATGATAGTTTCATCTATGCTGAATTTGAGCTCAGAAAAATAAACTTTATTGACAGGGAAATTTTTTGCCACGCAAAAGATAAGTACCTAAACACAAATCAAACAATTGCGTCATAGTCAGGAACACGTCTTTACAGTTACGCATTCGCCATCACAACTGAAGCGTTAAAATAGGTGAAATGAGTAAATTCCTCGAGGCAAGAAATATACTTTCCTCAGCGCAACAAATAATCCCATACATACTGTTTCCTTCCGATGAATAATTGGATTTTTCCCAGTATAAACCCAATATTTAAATATTGAAACTTGAAAATTTCTATGAATTTTGGTTATCTCATATACTGATCCTATCCATAATTTCAATTCCTAGTTACCTGACAACCAAAGGATAAGATAGTTCAGGTGCTTTGAAATCCCGGAGGTAGATGGCGAAAGGATTCTGGAATTGGCTGACGAATTGCGGGGGCAGACCCGATGTTCCTGTCACAATCCTCACGTCCGCACAGTTCCTAAACGTCTCGGCTTTTCCGCATCCTACCGCCTCTGTTCCGTTTGGACATCGACCCCACATGTTACCTGAGAACATAATATTTGTCTTATTATATTGTATTGAAAACGTGTAGAGGGAACTGGTCAAGATCAAAATTGTAAATTTAATCTTCCTCCCTAGCAGGGCCGGGTTAAGGGAGTGGCCACATGGGCCGCGGCCCATGGCAGCAAATTCAGGGGGCGGCAAATTTTGCAATTTTTTTAATGTAGGTATAAAAAAAATCGGATTCAGAAAAAAAATTATCAATGAGAAAAGGGGACAAAATCTCTCTTTCCTGAGAGTATAGTAATTTCGAAATTTTTAGTTTTTCGGTGATACAAGAGACAGCATCTTTAATTAGTCGAGTTAAGAGAGGAAGTAAACACGCAATTTGGCTTGGAGCCCTGCGTAGAAAAGATTGATGACGAGGACTTGAAACGAAAAGGACAAGCTCACGGCTGGTGGTCGGTATGTAACACATATTAGCGCCTACAAGACTGCATGAATACTTCACCCCTTGCGTCAAACATAGTGCGGTCAGGAGCGGTTAGCGTGAAACGCATAGCGCCTACAAGACTGCAGGAATACTTCACACATTGCGCCAAACACAGTTCTATCAGCGCGGCACAGGCGCAGCGGCGCGGCGGCGGAATAAGTTAAAATTATTCAACCACATTTATGTTTGTTTTTTCATAATTTTTTGGTTCATTTCTTGTAAATGGAGGACCTTGTCCACACAGAGATAGGTTTACGGAACTTAACTTTCGCGCAAAGTTCCGTGAAATTTTACTAGTAGTGTTGACAGGGCTTTCGCAAAAAATGTATCCAACATGAGTAGGTAAACAAGTCTTATGCACCCCTCCCCCTCCGGCATGTTTACTTGATGGTTTTTATTGATGTTTCAAAACGAATGAGAAGGGGGCGGCAAAATACAGGCGGGCCATGGGCGGCAAGTAGGTAAATCTGGACCTGCTCCCTGGTCAAGATTCTTTTCTTATGTTAGGGTAACAAAACTCATCGGCCCAAATATGTTTTTGGCCGCACTAACCACACTCTAAACCAGCCTTGATTTAATGTTGCCTAATTTTCTCTCAAGTTTTTTTGTCTACAGATATCTAGACTCAAAATTAGTTCCTGATGCGTAATATACGGTCAAATCAAATGTGTGACCTCTGGTACAATGTTCTGTTTGAAGATAGCGCAATTTTCGAGTTTTCGAAAACCATAGGACTCCTCAGAGATAAACGTATAGAATTATGAGCTCCAAACTAGGAAAATATTTCTAGTTTCAATGAGAGAACTTACCCGTATAGTAAGTCCATTGCAGCACGCACTGAGAGCATGTAACGTACGGTGGTAACCGAACTTTATAGTGGAAGATGTCCTTCTTTTTAGCGTCCGTCGGTATCAGATACCGATTTTCCCTCCTCGTTCCTGATAGAAAGAGAGGAAACCTGACAAATAATAAAGAAGAGATTATGAGAGATCAAAGAGACTATCAACTTTTGCTGATTAAAAAAAAGAAAAACAAATTAATTAATGAAAATTATTATTTTAAATTTGTTTTACTCATCCTCTTTTTACAACTAGAATACTTACCATCGGTTTTATAGTGACGGAATATGTTACAATCAGTGGTGAGGCGTGACTGATTGATTATCGACATTTTAATATTTGAAACTATGGTAAAGAATCGATTATTGAGGTGTCCGTTGCGAACACCCTGTTTATCCTTTTTTTTTTTTTTTTATTCATGTAAATGTACATAGCAATTACACTTGAAATTTTCAGACCAGATAGGTCTTTATAAAATTTTATATTAACTTATACCTAATAAAGTATAATACACACCACTTTTTAGAGTTAATAACAGAATTCAAATATTGAGAGGGTGTTTATCCTATGAATCCTATATTATGTGAATCCTATTTACCCTGTTTCTAATTTTCCATAGGTTAAAATGACAGATCAATCGATCGATCACAAAGGACGCCACGACACTGGTTACAATGGTGCACGCCCACAGGCCACATCTTAATTTTCTTCCTCAGTATCGCTTTAAGAGAATACAGCTTGAATGTCTGTCTAAATATGAGTCTTGCCTTGCTGTTAAGCGGCGGCTCATACATGGTGTGCTTTTTAATTTTTAATTTTTTGTTTTGTTTTATCGGCGGTTGAAAAAGGGCTTATTAATCCCGAAATTTTCTGTCAAATTGTTTTTATTCACGGTCTGTACCCCGTTTTAGTGATTTTATTTCATATAAATAGAGCGAAAAATACTGTCTTGTTGGGGATAAACGTTGGGTGAGCATTTGAATGCTTCATAATCTCCCTGGATAATCTTCTCCATTTTCGCGGATAGTTATCGATATTCATTCCCGATATTTTTAGACCCTTTGGACTGAATTGTAAATAAAGTGCTTTGAAAAATTCAAAAAGGAACCATCATAGGTTTCCAAGAAAATTCGTAATTCATCGGTGGAAATTTGGCAACAATCGGATGCTGGGATGCTTATTAACACAGCAGAAAAGCTCTTAAAACCAATGCTCACCTATCGAAGCAAGCTTGCGTCGCCTCGTAGCGCGGGTTGTTGTTCGGACACAGAGCCATCTCAAAACGACCCCAGTGATTTGATGTTAGCTCTACTTCCACATCAATCTCCTATGAATTCAAATTGAAAAATGATTGAGTATGAGCTAAATTTATCTAAAAAAGTTAGAAAAATGATGATTCGGCCGAAACAATGGTATGTAAAAATACAATGTATAAACCACAAAAAAAAGTGGTGCGCCTCGCTGCAGGCGCTGCACCAACAGCGACTGATCTTGAACCGCAGCCAACCCGGTTGGTGCGCTGAGTCGCATTATACAAACCATTGTAAATAGGGTGATGGTGACTGAAGCACCGAGTTTAGTCGATCGTATGACAATTGATGTGCCCTTGGGTGCAAACATTTTATTGGTGCACATCAACATATGGGATTACAGTGGGCGCCGCTTATTGTGGTCAACTTGGGCCGGGCCACTTTGATCACATTAAACGGCTGATTATAAAAAGCGAAAAAAAAAAAGTGAAGTTACTCACGATGATTTTGTCCCGACTGTTGACCGTCCCTTGTTCAGCACGCCTTCGTTTTCTCTTAAGAACACCCGCACACTCACGCACTAAATTTAAAAGCCGTAATAATTTTTTTAAAAGCCGTAAAAATTAAAAAGTACATAGTAAAAAGATAAAAACTCAATGTTTTAAAACAATCATTTAAAGAAAGAGTCAATAGTAGCTTGTTTTGTATTGTCTCGTAACAAAGCATTCACGAATGATTCATACTGATACTGAACTTCGAAGTTTTCAGCCAAAACTTTAAAATGGGGAAACACTGAACTGTACGGACGCGATGCGAGTCTAATAACCGCGCGGAAGGCACTGATTAGGTGTGTCTGTCAACAAAAATAAGCTCTCACACCAGGTAAGTGCTGATAAGGCTCCGGATTCCCGATCACAATATGCGGCCGGCGAACACAATACGCGGCGGATTTCGTATGGAATTGGATGTTGCCGGTCCGTTCCGCGAGAAATGATTCCATTATGCGGCCGATTCTATTAACCACGTTTCTAATAAGCGGCGCCCACTGTAGTTGTATTGACAAGTATAAGCTCTTCTTTTTTCTTTTTCTTTTTTTAGTTTTCTTTATTTAATTGTATTTATTTTTTTTTGTAGACTTTGAAGATTAAGGACGATTATCATAAAATCATATTTCCGGAATTGTAGATTTTTCTCACTCCGAAAAATTTGATTATTTTAAGGATCATATCGAGCTTCAAAATACTCTCATTGATATTTTTATAATTTTAGTTGCTGTCATTTTCTAGAATGTAGTCTAGAAGAATATTGTAATAAACGTATAGAGTTTTCTCTTTCTGGCTTCTCAAACATGCCTGGGTGTATGGCTTCAATGTAGAAATGCATCACTCATTGCGTCCGTTCAAATTGAAGGGGCAAAATCTGTTCGGCTATTTGATATCATTTTTTAGCAACTAGACCATACTAACGCTTTGAGTCAAATTCCTTGCGGAGTCCTTGCGGCATCGCCGTTTTGCTTTAGTTTGACTTATATACTTACTCCCGTCCGTGCGACAGGCTGTTAGTATTTGTTTGGAAATATTTGAAGAACTTGTTCGCTCATTTAGATTTATAAAAAAAAAGAGAGAATGTCTTTTTGCCATTTTTTGAGAATTTTTATGAAAAAAAAAAACCTACTCACAGAAATGCCAAGGTATGAACTCTAGAAAGTGAGGGAAACAAGTCTAAATGGTACGTATGACAATTAAAATAGAGCATGACTTAACATTGCTTAAAAGTAATACAACTTTAGTTTGAGTACCTGTCCAGCAGTATAAGTGCGACCAATAATTCCTTTGGCATAGATCCCTCCTGCTTCATGTGCTCGGATCTGGGAGTTGTACGCGTCCCCGCAAACTCCACACTTGCCCCCATTTTGCTCCCACTGTACTGCAACATAACGAAATATTTTCACAGTGCCTGATACTAAATACATTATGAACCTCGTTCGTTTGGTCAAAATGTTTTATAACAAAATTAAACATGTACAAGTTGCAACAATTAACAGTTGGGGTCCGTTGCCCTCCAAGGGGGCTCCTGAAAATTTTGGGGGGCCAGAAAGTAGCTCCCTTTGACCTTGGAACATACCCCAAGTTTCAAATCTTTAGCTCAATTAGGTAAAAAATTAGAGGGGGTGGAAGGGACTTTTGGATCACCCTGTATCTCCGTTTGACTGTCATATCTCAGCAGATGTTTTTGCAATTTGGCAATATTCTGAAAAGACAATTCAGTACCGTTCAATCGCGCTAAAATCAAAGAAAGATCCCGACGAGAGGAGGAACGAATTGCGATTAGACATTGACAAATGGGCAGTGAGAGTTTTTTTTGTTCAGATTCACCAAAGTCCCACGGCTGAAATTCACAACCAATTTCGGAAGGTTTCTGATCATTGGGAGAGAAAAATTGCTCGAGGAAAGAACGAGGTTTTCACCGAAAATTCAGCAAAAAAAAAAATCAGAAAGAATTGCTTTAAAATTATTTACGACTTGTATTAATTTCCCTTATTTGTGTCTGGCTGCTGAATTCGGACAGCGCTGGTACGAGAAATACTACGAGTTCCCACACGTTGCCGTTTAGAACGCAAACAAGAAAATTTTCGAAAAGTAGAATTTGATTCGTATTGATGGAATCATGGTCTTCGTTCCTCCATGTTTGGCAATTTCATAATTGGCTCGTTCGAGTTAGGTCTTGTAGCAGATTATTTTTTATACTCATTTTTGGAGAATGAATCTTCCTTAAAGCCCTCGGAATGAGGCGTAAGGAATATTTTGAGGAATAAATACACAGTTGAAAGTGACTCACATAATAGTTGGGGAAAAGTTGGTGTAATTAAATCTGCGAACTATTTTTCCTAAAGGTGATTGCTTCTTTGGCCATAATACATAATCTTACAATACCTTCATTGGTAGCGTAAGAACAATCTCACTCATGTGTCATTGCGAGCACATATACATTTCGAGGGCTAATTTCGCAATTACAAACCAACCATAATTTTAAACAATAATTAAAGGAAATAAGTATTTTCTCATGTAAAAGAATTCAACAAATATGAAAAAATGCAATCTCTGAAAGCCATAATTCTGGGCTGTGCAAACACTCATATCCATACAGATTTGCTGGAATCCAGAAGGCGCGCATCGGTCAATGAACCATATCAGTCAAAACTACTGCACCTAAACCCGTACTAACGGCCTCTGAGCCCGGAACGGCTGACAAGTTAACATAGCCCATAAGTGTAACTGTCAGCCGCGAGGATTCTTGAATACGTACACGCTAATTAAATTCAGAGAAAAAAATGATACAAGGACTTCAAAAAAGTCAGTTTGACTAGACTTTGCCGTGAGAAACCAATATCACTAACTCATGCGCCCAATCAGTTTCCCAATGCAAATATATGTTTTTATGGATAATCCAAAATTAGTGGTCCCATATCACAAAATGTGGTCCAATTTCCCTAAGGCAAATGCCATCTCAAACTTTCGTCGTGCTTTCACGTCTTGTTGACATAATTAAGCGGACGGGTAATAAAACGCGCCTCGGCGCGCAGTTTTATGGGCGATTACGGATCTTTAGCACGAGAAGGTGATTTACAAGGTTCCAAAGAAATCGAGTCTCCTCCGAAGGAAGACGTTACCGAGCAGTAGAATTCTCGACGGCGGTTTTTTTGACGGTCTTGCTGCCGCCGCGCCATCAGCTCAGCAAAAAAAGCGGATTTACGTAAGGTTTGAGTGGTAGTTAAGCTGTTTTTGCTCAGCGAGGCAGAACTCTAATGAGACGGACACCGCCTCACAGCCTCGACGATCCGATCAAATTGAGCAGACGCGGGCACATGTGAATACTACGTGATCTTCTTGTCGGGCGACATCGGGCGAAAAGGGGGGCGACGGGCTGGAGAAGGGGAGGGGGATGGTCTTTAAACGAAATAAAAACGTCGCGTGAATTTGCTTTGTCAGATTAATATGGGGTTTTTGGTCATTAGAAACTAAACTGGATCGTCCAAAGAGATAAAGGCCATTGAAGAGCCCTCCGCCACACATTTCAGGCCCGAAGGTTCCTTGTGGTTTTCGCAGTCTTCGAATTCAGAAATGTCACCTCAATTCCCTCTTAAAATTTTACCCAGGATTTAGATTGAATCTCTCATATTGATCCATACCTATTCATTTTTTAATTTACTGTTAGCAACTCAGTTGCTTAATCTTGAGAACGCTGCAAGCTTTTAAGTGGTCATTGCAAAATTCAATCGATGATATTAGATATCTCGAGCACTGCTGAACAATCGCACGCTAGGAAGTAGAATATGTATCTAATTTCTTGCTTTACATAAAACAATGCATGCTGATGTTCTGTGATTCGCTCTAAAAACTTTCAGTCAAACAGAGAACCACAGATTCCAGAAAAACAGGAAGAATATCTCACCAGCGTATCCTCCGCAATACAGCTCATTGTCGTTATAGTTGACAGGATTTGGAAAACCAAACCTCCACATAGAATTTCGGGCAGGCGGGTCCATCAGCCTTCCGTGTGCATCGACCCCAGCCTCCCGAAGCAACTGAAACACAGGATTCATAACCTATAAATATATATATCGAGGCGAATGAAAGTACTCGAAGTAACACAGCTTACAGGGTATAATTTTGCACATTCAACTTAGAAACACTCATTCAAACATCCAAAACTTCCAAGAGAATTTTTAGGTTGCAGAAATGATACTCGCTAATTCCACACAAACGTAATCGAAGTTGGCGCTGTTTTCAACTCTGGAAATATAGTTTATCCCAGAAACTTCAACATAATCAACAATGCAAATTATCATCAAAAGGAGATGTGTTTGCCGATTGATGTGAATTAAGACATCCTACGCTCGAGGTCAAGATATCCTGTCTTAAATGAGAAACAGCGGGTTGACCGCCTTCATTTCATCGGGTAGGCAAAACCAGATCCTACACGTTAGTATAGTCGTATCATTAGAAGTTATTTCACACTCTAGAAAGACTTCGAATTTGGAATGGATTTCTATCGCTTCACATGTAAGAGATGAGAAAACCTTTCATGCATGGTTTATAGATGTGAGAAAGTTTCCTCTGTTCCCTGAACAAAGAAGCATTTAGAAACAAGAAGGAATACTAAGATTTTAAACGCTGAGCCATGTGGTTAACTATGGGCTAAAATCAAACAAGAACGATCAAAAGACATTAAGTACTAAATTTTTAAGTTGAACTGACTGAAATATCAAAACTGAGCTGTCAGGTACATGGTTGTAAAACTGGCTAACCTCTTTTAATGGTCCTTTGATTTCAACATTTGTTCATGAATCAAATGTCACTTGTTCTCCATTATCTTTTTTCCGGGACATTTAAATCCTGGTTCTGTATCATCAGCAGAGGAGCAAACGATGAAAATCATCTATCTTAACGAAACGAGCGGAAAATCAAAGAAAAACTCCGAAATGTCAACAAGAGTTAGAACCATGAACTCGCACAGTCGACAAATTTCTGGTTAACGGGTATGAAAATATAGAGCTCTCGGCAAATTTAATGCCCAAAAGGCAAGCACACCCTCCTATATCCAGTCGCGGAATTTCGGAAATTTATCAGCGAACCATAAAGCAGCCAAAAATATCGTTTTACGAGCAGCGGATCTCAGTAAGTGCCTAGTCTAGTTATGCAGTCGCCATAATTTTGGGGAGAGGCATTTTTATTACTTGTGCCACATGCACAGAGGCTGACGCGCGGAGAAATGTCAAGCAAGAGGAGGCAACAGGTTCAGTATTCCCAAAAACGATTCCAGAACCATCGCTCAATATGTTGAAAACTTGAGCCCAAGTTTGTGCCTAAAGAGAGACGAATTCTGTTAATGCGGCGTGCGATATTCAACATATCTAATGGTTTCTCAGAAAACAAAGATTCTTGTACATTTAGATTATATAGAAGCGCGTCTAAGGTATTGGACTCAATGATCATTGCTCGATGTTTATACTTCTTTAATTGAGCATAAAATGCAATAACTGATTTGAGGAGTCAGACTGATTTTACTTTTTTTTGTTTGTTCTAAATCCTGATAGAAAACAGCCGGATCCACTCATTTCATCAATTGATCCGATATGACCCAACTTCACGTGGACTTGCGTATATTATACCTTTATAAAAATATATTTATTTTTTTCCTAGTTTTGAACTAAGTTACCCTGACTTAAATTAGCCTTATTTCCCACCATTTCAACCAATTTCACAAGACAATTAGTTCTTGTCTACACGGTGAAAAAAAGTAACCAACACTATCTATACTATAAGCTCCAAGACCTCCTAATTTTGCGAAACTGGTGACGCTTAGTTCCAGCGTTCTACCGGGCCGATTTTCATGATTTTTGCGGCAATCGACGGGCAATTGTCTCTAGATAAGCCAACTTTTTTCAGATTTTCAAAATATGGCCCAGGTTTTTTTATATTACGTGGTAAAGTTGCGAATTCTCCCATTTAAACAATGTAAATTTATACTTTTTGTCATAGTTCGTTTGAGCGTTCTACCGGGCCGATTTCTATGATTTTTGCGTAAATCGACAGGTAATAGGCCCTAGATGAGCCCGCTGTAATCAGATTTTGGAAAAAGGACCCAGGTTTTTTTAAAATCACGTTATAAAAGTGAGTGAGTTTACAGAATGCTCCGGTACTGCTACCGCTATGCGCGGGAGGATGCGCAGTGGTCAAGGAGGTTGCGCAGTAGCTGTGTAGCCTGCGCATCAGCTCTACACTTATCTACACAAGATTCGCGCCAGTGTCCACACGTCGAGCGGTGGTCGAGTCGTCTAAGACGTCATATGCGTCCATCTTGACCTCGGTGTGGGTTTGATCCCCGACTCACGACATCTTAATGATTACCTGTGTCTATCACTGTGCATTGTTTTACTGCAATATTTCATCAAGCAGTCATTCCAAAACGCGTCCTTTTAATTTTAAAGTAATTTTAAGTAATATTTAAAATTAAAGTATACCTCATATCGTAATTTTTTAGGGGAAAAATAAAACTAACACCGATGCGATAGGAGGGTAAAAATAGGGCCGCGAAGCGGCCCATTGATGGCGCGGAGCGCCTTCAGGGGGTTGGGCCGCGTAGCGGCCAGGGGGCGTAGCCCCCTAGTACACTAATATTGGGAATTAGAATACAAAGTAACCATAAACAAGGATATTTTTGACAATATATGTAATATGCAAATCCCTTACTCAAAGTTCGGTGATTCAACCTTGTAAAAACAATTTTGAAATTATGCTTCTTCCTCCGCAATTACTACGAATTTCACAAACATGAACGATATCACCAATGAGTTGACTTCGCAGTAAAATTAAACTGACATGTCACCAGCTTTGTCAATGTGCTGCTCCAAAATTTCTCCGTATCTTCACGGTGACGGACACAGTGTTTGCTGAATTTCATGCATTCACAAGAAACTGAATCGTATTCACAAAAAAGGGCGATTAAAATACTTGTTGCCAAAATGTCAGAGTTGAGAGCCGTAAAATTTCCAAGTTTGAATTGGCAACCGCCATTGACCTATCGTAATTATTGACCATTAAAATAACTCGACGGCTTTTGAGACTCTTTTCGGCTGTGGTGAATTCAGCTTAAACTTTTTGGGTGGAGCTTGAATGTAAATTTTTTTCATTTTCGCACGTTCAGAGATTTGACGAAAAAAGAGGGAAGAGTCTCGAACTAGGCCTGGGTGAATGAGGTAGAGGAAAATAGCAAGCTCAATTTCTTTCACTCAAATTGGGAGCTTCGTGCGTTATGCAAGATGTAAGGCGGTGCCAATCGCTTAATAAAATTCAACCAATGACATTCGAAACTGAATTATACAGCCCTTTATTTTCCATTTCTGATGTTTTGCAAACAATTTACCATAAAAAACTTCGGAAATGTTAAATGAAAGCAGTGTTATGTTGAAATATAATCGGTTGCTCAAAAATTGTATGGGTTTGAATTGAAGATTCCTTCGATTGTCTTTTGGGACTCAAAGTTGTCTAACTGTAATGTAACTTTCCTCTAGCCTAATTCCTGACCAGCTAAAAATACTGTGTAAAATTGGTGGTCAATATCGACTGCAAAATAACGTTTTATTTCTTTCTTTATTTGAGGATATTTAATTTTCTTCTCGTTTTTTTCTGTTGTTTGAACAGACACGAACCCGAAAGTTATTGCTCTAACAATAAGTAAACATGAGGAAAAGAGAAAAATATCTGAAATTGTAGTTACAGGAAGTAAAAAATTGCCGCCAAGCAAGAAAGCGACAAAATCGGAGACTCGAAATAACAAATGGGTCACGAGAAATCGTGCGTACTTAAGCAACCATTTCCCTCAATTTTTCCCGGCAAATACTTGTTTGCCCACGCAAAGTCGGCTGAGTGAAATCGAAAGTAAATGAAGTTCCGAACTTGATCTTTGTCGGTCCATGTTGTGACAGGCGGCGTGCATTTTGTGACACTTGCGACAAGTTGACAGCAGTGACATTTTGTCCCTGCAGACGATTTATGTCAGCACTGCTGGAGCCAGCCCCTCCTTGGGTGATATCTCTTCATTGGCGGTTCAGTTCTACTGATCGTGACTGCGCTCCTCTAAGTGACGATTTTTTGTCATCATTTACCGTAATCGCATCACTCACGGGTGTTGATCGGTATGGACAATCTTAGCAGCACAGGAATGCACGTGATTTTTGGATTACGGACCTGCTCACCTTCACTAAACTTTGGAAATTGCTTAAAAATCAGTGGCGTGGCCTGCTTTGCGATATATCGATTGATCTGCCATTTAAACCTGTGGAAAAGAATCGATTAACAGGGTGTTTGCAACAAATCCATAATAATCGATTTTTTACCATGGTCTCAAATGGGGAAATACCGATAATCGATCATTCACGCCCCGCCACTAAAAATAATGCATAACTCTACAGTAACAGGGGTGGAGGGTGTGGTTGTTACCCCAATAAAGATCCCCCCCCCTATAAGTCTTAAAATTTGACTTCTTTAGACCGTTTTTCTCAAAACTTGAATATTGGACGTTCGATACAAGTGACGTATGTTATATTCTACGACAGTGAAGTCAATGAATAAAAAAATCTGTTTACAATGAACACTGGCGTATACTATCTTAACAACTCTAAATGATGCTTAAAAACAATTGATTGAGGGGGACTCTCCGCTCCACTATTATTATTTTCACCCTTTTTGAAGTTTTTCCTTACTTTCCTTAAAATAAAATTCACTCGCCTGATTTTGCCCTACCAGTGTGCTTCTGTCATACCCGAATTAATATAGATAATAATAACAATAAAAAAAAGTCGAACAGCCAATGCTTAAGCAAGAGGCCGGGTCATATACCTTTTTTTTTTCAGCAACAGTTAATTGTGCTTTATAAACGCTCTAATGAATGACCCTTTCTTAACTGAGTCCACTGGAATGAAGTAAATTCTTCACAGAATTAAGGTATAAAGGTCACCCTACTTAACTACTTTAATTTTTTTTCTTTTTTTCGTTACAGTAAGATCTACAAAAATTTTTAGTG